AAAAATGGATATTACACGATAACAGCAAATCATAGGTTCCCTTGACTTCGCTGCCTCGCAACCTCTTTTTTACATGCAGCGATGGGGAATCGTTGAATTTGTTTTTTTTAACTGGAAGATTTCGAATTCTAGAAATTTAAACCATGGATTTTTATTTTTTTTTTTTATTACCATGAATTTTTTGTTTTTTATTTTGTTTTTTTTTTGTTTTTATTTTTTATTTTGTTTTTTATTTTATTTTCTATTTTTATTTTGTGGTGTTTGTCTGTTCTTTAAATTTCAAAAATAGAAAAATAAAAAAACCTGAATTCTAAAGCTCGATGAATTGGAGGAACTGCGGAGTGTAATTTCGATATTTGCAGTATCAAAATTGGTCTGAATTCGAAAATGCCAGCACGTTTCCCACCGGTGGTGTTCTATACGCCGAAGGAAATCGGTGGCTTGGGTATGCTTTCCATGGGCCACGTGTTAATTCCACAATCCGATTTACGCTGGATGAAGCAGACAGATCAGGGCGGTATCACGCACTTCCGAAGTGGCATGACACACGACGAAGATCAGCTTATTCCAAACTTATATCGATACATTCAGGTTTGCTCCACCGTTACATCATTAGGCCAGAAATTGATTGAAATTACAATGAAGCAGATGTAAAAATAACAGCGGCAGTATGAAAAGAAGATAAATATGAGATAAATAAATGTGAGATATGAAACAAGATATTATTTTATAACATGCACTTTTAACCTTTGCTTTAACCTTTCTACTTCATCTTAACTTTCCTTTTTATGCGTTTGATACATTGCATGTTATTTTTGCTACGACCGTCACACTGACGAGGTCCAGCTGCAGCATTGAACAGGAATGTATGCGACTTGATGGACTGAAACATTCCTATTCAGATTTTTTTTTTTTTCAGATTTTAACTTATTCACATTCCCTTTTATTCCCTTACTTCTTACATAAACACACACCATCTAAAATTAAAATTACAATGAGATATGAGATGTATGAGAATAAAATATGAGATCTGAGAATAATGAGATATGAGCAAAATAAATATGAGATAAATAAATGAAAAATATGAAAATAAGCAGGAAAAGAGACAGACAAAAATGAGGCAAAAGCGCAAATTTAAAAAATTACATTGTAAATGTGGTCTGTTCATCTTGAAACTCTACACACAATCTAACATTCGTCTGAACAAAAAAAGAGCGCCAGTCTTTAACGTACTAGTTAAATTCTTGATGTACAGTTTTTTTATTTTCGATTTAACAGTTAATTTTAACAAATTTAACATTAAAAATTTGACATCAAATTTTTAACATAAAACATTGACATAAAACATCAAACATAAAATTCAACGTAAAATATAACATTAAACATTAAAAATTAAAAAAAAGAATTTAACAAAAATTAAAAAAGTAACTAAATTTAACACACTTTACAATGAAAATTTCTGATAATATCCGATGTTTTTTTTTTGTCTTAATTTTCTGTTTTTTTATCGCAACTTGTTTTATACTAAGTGATCCACCGGATTTTTTCCTATTCTTCAGCCCTGGGAATTTGAATTCATTGATTCGCAACGAGTCTGGGCCGAATATGCGCTGAAACGACAGGAAGCCAACGCGCAAAACCGTCGCTTAACACTTGAAGATTTGGATGATAGTTGGGATCGTGGCATCCCGCGAATAAACACACTTTTCCAAAAAGACCGGCATACTCTGGCGTATGACAAAGGATGGCGTGTGAGGACCGAATTCAAAACTTACCAGGTACTCACTTTTTTCGATTTTTGCTTGAAATCATCATAAAAGTCCTCCTAAAAGATGTTCTGTTATTGGCAGCAAGATGGAAATACACAGAAGACATTTGCGTCTTCTGTACTTCACTGGCTGTTTCCCCAGTCTTTCGGTAACATGAAAAGTAAAAAAAATTTTGGATATCCGTTCATTTTTATCAGTTTTTCAAATTTTCAGATCCTAAAACAAAATCCATTTTGGTGGACCCATCAGCGCCACGATGGCAAACTATGGAATTTGAATAATTATCGTACCGATATGATCCAAGCACTGGGCGGCGTTGAAGGCATCCTGGAGCACACATTATTCCGGGTAACTTTGCATCATTTTCGATTTTCGTTGCCGATTGTTCAGCTTTGTGTAGTGGCCCAATTTCTGTAGCCTTCTGTCGCTGCAGCAAAAACAAAGCTTTGGTGAGCACCAAAAGCCAAAAGAAAAAAAAAAAAAAAAAAAAAACGAAAAGAAACAATATTCGTTTTTTGCATTTGCATAAATATGCAAAAACACATAAATCTGTTTTTATGTTTCGGCATTATTGGTGTGCATAGTTTGCTGAAATTTGTTCTACTTTTTCCTGCGACTTTCTCTAGTGGAAAGGAACATCAATGCTTTTGCTATGAGCGCTTGCCCATATGTACTGTCTGAAAAACCGTTAAAAAAAATCATGATAAATCATGGTCAATTTATAACATACCAAAGCCAGTTATTTGATTTTTATTGAGCCTCGAGTCAAAGTAGCCGTTCTGTTAAAGATCCCGTACTTGCGACATTTCTTCAGGCACCAAGCGAGCTGTCATTTTTCTGATCAACCAATACCGCCGACTAATTTTTGCTTCCTATAAAATTTGTAGATGCTGCCAGTTGTATAAAAAAATTTTTTTTGCTCTAAGGCTGTGTTTTACGGGGCCTAAAGTCTGGAAATAGAATGAAAATGAACTGGAAATAATCATCGATCTGAATTTTTGCAGTTTTAATTAACATATTTGGCGCATGCATTCTTTTCAGGGGACATATTTCCCAACATGGGAAGGATTGTTCTGGGAGCGTGCCTCTGGCTTCGAGGAATCGATGAAATTCAAGAAACTGACGAATGCACAGCGATCTGGTTTAAATCAAATCCCGAATCGTCGCTTCACGCTCTGGTGGTCACCAACTATCAATCGAGCTAACGTTCGTTTAACTTTTAGTTTTTCTTTTTGGGTTTTCATTGTTGGTTGG